AACACAGTAGTGTAGGTTCATTTCTGTGGAGCAGAAAGGGCAGGCTCAGCTCACAGACATTTCGTTGTCCTATCTAATTTCAGCTCTAGAAGTCACTCAAATACAGTGGTTAGGCGACTCAATCATATTTTCACTCACTCTCACTAAGCCCTCAGATATATCTAGCTACAAATATGTGTCACTTTCTAGCAGATACAATGTGTTAGGGAAGGATTATAAACAAAAGAATCCAAGCAATCACACTTATTCAAAGTGAAAATAATATATATATATATAAAAGAAGCCGTAGTTCTCAGAGAAAACAAAAATGTTTCAAAGATGAAATAAATTGTTATTAGTCTATAGTGACTTTTTCCTACTAAATTATTTCTTTGGCTTTATCTGTTCTGGGTGTTCTTCACAAAGCTGTTGATTCACTTCTATCGTAGTGCTACAAAACTGAGGAATGTTCAGCCAACCACAGTTTATCACTCCTTAAAAAAAATCCACAGCCTTATAATGTACAAATTTTTCCTATTTCCTCTATTAGCGTATAGTGTTTAAAGACAGAGATCTCACTTTAGACATTTCTACATCTTTTGTAGGCCAGAGTTTCCTCACAGTAAACATTGGGTGATTATATGTTAAGTTAGACATTAAATATTTTCCTCAATATATATGAATAGCAATAATAAATTTATGGTTGATGTAATAATCATTTTTTAGGGGTTAGAATTTACAAAATATTTTATTTTTCAAATAGAGTTGATTTCTTAAGAATTATTCATTTAAGCTTTGTATTATTATTATTATTATATTTCAGTTTGACCAGAGAGAGAGAGAGAGAGAGAAAGCAAGCTGCCAGGTCCAGGACTTGAACTGCTGTCAGCCATGTAGGAATCCAGTGCCTTAACTGCCACACCATCTGTCAGTCCCAAAAGAGTTCACATTTTAGAGAGAGATTTATGTTATAGGGAGCATGTGCTTGCCAGAGAGACAGAGAGACAGAAAGTGAGAAATCACTCCCCAGGGGCATGACCACTCCATAATCCGTTCTCCATTTTCCTCTCAGTATTTTGGGCACACACACACACACACACACACACACACACGTGAGTTTTAAGCTACCAGATCCAGGACTTAAACCAAGTTTGAGTACATGGGAGTCTAGTGACATAATCATTATGCCATCTGCTGGTCTCAAGAGTTGATTTTTTAATGTATGAAACCCAATGTGTTACCAGAGAGTTTTAGTAATTTGTTATTTAGATCATTTGAGTTTTCTTTTGGATAACCCTTTTTATTATAATAGTAAGGGAAGGCTTTAGGACCTGAATGACAGGGTGGGAGCCAGGCTCTGCTACCTACTAGGATGCTCCCTCGACCACGTCTTAGTGTCTGTCTGTGCCTCAGTTTCCTACTCTGTAAGCTAAGAGTTACAGGTAAACCTAGAGTAGTTGCCAGTGTTTTGAAGAGGTAAGGGAACCCTCTGGGTTTCCCACACATGTTGGAAACTATCAAGATCTAAAAATGGCAGGCTGATGGAGATCAAAATAGGAGGCAGAAGGAGGTGCCCCCTGGAGTATAGTCATAGCAGGCTTCCTCAATCTGCTCTTGAGAACCGTGTTCAGGCATCACCTGGATGACCTGGAGACTTGCCCTGCAAAGCCAAGCTCACCTGATTCCTGGTATGCAGCGTCATGAGTCTAAGACACTGAAAAGATCCACCAGGGTTGAGCCACGTGCTCCAACTCCTCCCAGAGAAGGAAAGATGGAAACACAGAACAAGGTTTCCACTTGATATGAAGTGTATGGGTTAGCACACGGACGACACTTAGAAGAGTGCTTTGTAAATTTCAGATGTTTTCATATTATGGATATTTCTTACCCTTCCAAAAGACAAACAAAGAAACTAACAGGTCAGTTAGTTGTCCTTTATAGAAATTCAGAGCATGGGTATGGGATATATTGATTTACTGATGCTGTAAGGCTTTATGTGTTTTGACCTATTTTGGTATTCTTATTTATTCATTTTAGTTTAGATTGTCACAGATTAGGGAATATGGTCTGTGAAAACCCATATTATAGTAAATATCTTAAATGCCATGGATATTTTAAAATCTTTCTTAAATAAAAATGTTTGAAAGTCCCAGATGGTATGGGTTTAGGCAGTTGGTGGCCTTAGCTAGGTCTACCAGAGGGGGTTCATTGGCCCAATAGTTAATTGATACTTATATTTTCCAATTGGACCACTCTTCTAATTCTCAAAGAATTCTGGGGGCAAAAAATGAAAACAAGGAAAGAAAGAAAGAAAAAAAAAAAAAGGAAAGGAAAGAAAGAAAAAAGAAAAAGAAACAATGAAAGAAGGGAGGGAAAACACAGAAAGAATATATATTTACTATCACTGGTAACTTTTAATTGAAAAGAACAGAGCTGGTAATAGAAAGTATGTGCAATATAGATGATCTCTTTAATTATTAGAGAGCATGTGTTCTTGCTGGAGAGATGCAGGGAGAAATCTCCCCCAAAGAGATGTGGTCATGCCATGATCTCTTCTTCTTCATTTCTTCTTCCTGTTGGAATTTTGGGTTCTCCTGCACATGTGTCTGTGTGCTTTTCAAGTCACAAGGGCATGATTTGAACTTCACAGTGGGCCATGTGGGATAGGGTTTCCTTAACAGCTAGCCACAGGGTGGCCTCTTCAAGATTGTTTTCTACTAAGCTATATACTTCAAATGCATATGAAATTGTTGATTTTAACCATTTCATTAGTTAAAGGAATACACACTGTAGTGCTGGTCACTCCCAGGGAAAAGTTTGCCTTTCTAGATGCCATGCTTTAGTAAGAGAGACAAGTACAGATAAAACTGACCAGAATGCAGGGCAGGGTGTGGTGGAATAGGCAGGATAAACCAGAGATGAGGGAGCCAAAGTGGAGAATGAGTCTGATTTCAGAATATTTTTAAAATGCCATCTCAATTGGAATTAAGACTATCTTTAGTAATGGTTGGGGTTCAAAATCAGTCACACTCACTAATAATTATCTTGATCAAGAAATACAATAATTGTTCTCCAAATGAAAATTAAGCATAGGACACTGGCTACATTTCTTCATAGCTTGAAGGGTGGAATTCAAAACAGCAGACATGATACTTCTCAAAGGCCTTGATTAGGTAAGGCCCAAATAGAGTCCATTTAGGTAGCCACGAGGGCAGGCACGGTTCATGGATAACTGTGAACAAGTTTTAAAGAATATTTTAGTGTCTTAACTAGAATGGGGACTGCAGCTCGGAGGAACAGCACAGAGGCCATTGAGCAGGGAAGGCCACTGGCCGGAATATACCGCTCTAGTTTGCTGAGTGAGAGGCAGGCTCTTTTGTAGTCCTGACAAGGGATGAGGCTTTCACCTTAAAAGAAGCACATTTCCTACTCGCCAGATGGTGTGGTGGTGAAGGCAGCTGGGTCCTATGTGTTTGAGTGCACAGTTCAAACCCAGGACCTGGTAGCTTGAAAAAGACACGGGGCATGTGTACGTACATGCCCAAAATCGTTTTTTTCTTTGTTTGTTTGTTGTGTTTTTTTTTTTTTTTTTTTTTTGAAAGGTTTTCGCTATAGGGGCGCTGCGCTCAGAGAGAGACATAGAGACAGAAATCCAGAAATCACCCCCCAGGGGGGATGGTCACGCCGCAATCCCTTCTCCTCCATTCTCCTCTCAGGATCTTGGGCACGCACGCACACGCGCCCGGCGTGAGTTTTAAGCCACTGGGTCCAGGAAGTGAACCGCGGTCAACTACGTGGGAGTCCAGCGACATAGCCATTACGCTAACTGCTGGTTCCCAATGCCCAAAATCTTGAGCGGAGACTAGAGAAGAGATTGTGGTGTGGCCATCCTCCCTGAAGGGTGATTTTTCACTCTGCCTCTCACTTTGGCAAGCTCATGTGCCCTATAGCAACAAACAAACAAAAAAGAAGCACATTTCTTTATAAGGCACCAAATCAGGCACTCAGAAGGAACAGCACAAACTAGCCAACTAGCATCAGATGACAGCCGCAAAGGCTGGTTTGTTTCTGAGCCACAGACTATTATACCTGAATGTTTTTAGGGAGTTCTAGTCCCTGAGCTCAAGGAATGGGTCCACCCTTAGCACTTTTAAATGACCATAACGTAGTTAAGACACATTGCAGGGGAGATGAAGCTGATTGTCACAGGAAGTGACTGCTACAGAGAATTGCAAAATATTTGAACCCAGAAAGCTACCAAAGATGATAAATCCTAGCTAAGGATCAGATCATCAACACGAGCAAAAAGGAAAAGGCCTTATTGTACTATTTTGCTCCTCTTCAAGGGGGAAACTCTTATGTGAATGAATGTGTGTATGTATGTACTTTCGTATATATTATATGTTGGGGAACACGTGTTAAATAAAAAAGTTGATGTGAAAAAATGGGACATGGGAAAATTCTCAGGACCCTGCCTGCAACACTATCAATGCCTCGACCTCAACACATTATAATGAAATTTTATTGAAACTGAGACATTTCCTCTTCTCAGAAGTTCACTGTGGTAAGAATTGACGTTTAAAAATCGTATACACTGGGGGACTAGGGAGACAGAGAGCATGGCGGTGGATAAGAAGCTCATCATGTGGAATTCTTGCCAGTTGGCATAATCTTAGGAATTTCTGCTTCAGTATCACCTGTAAAGTAACTTTGTACCTTCTTAAATCAATTTTATGAATTTCTCTTCTATGCTTTTTCATAGTTATAGGAAGCAATGTCTAATAAAAAGCCAAATTAATGAATTTTTTTTATTGTGTTAAAATGTTAGTTAGAATATTCTTTGGAAAATGGTATTTCACTTTTCTTGCCCTGTGCAGAGCGTTTCATTTGGGACTGCCTGATGTTGTAGTTGGGTATGGTTTCATGCCCAAGTCTAAGGAATCACTCATAAACATGTTGTTATAAAAAGTGCCATGTTGGATCGTTAGTGTAATGCAAAAATATATATTTTTTTTATGCAGGTTGTTTTCCAGTCTCAGTATTATCACGGAGCTCACGCACCCCGCCAACATGAGATTCATGCAATTTAGAGCTAAGGACTGTTACTCTCTTGCTCTTTCCAAACTAGAAAAGGTAAGACCCTTGTAATGAAGGCAGCTGGATTTAACTATTTAGCTAAGTAGTCTGAAAAAATTGACAAATACATATATGGAAAGAAATATAATAGGAAAACTAAGATGCCATTTTGAATTCTTACTGGGAGTAAAATCCTTTCTAATTTTTAAAAATGTGAATTTATGAGTTTATATCACAAGTGAATATGATGAAACTATTTTTTTAACATCACTAATCATAACTGAAAACGTGATTCATGAAAGAATTAACAACACACCAGGCTGTATATACTGACTTATGTCAATTATATTGGTGATATTATAAGTCATTTGCTATATAATTAGTTCTATAGAGGGTTTGTGGTTTCCAAAAATTCTTAAGGTCTTAGGAAAGTTATAGGCTTTCTTGAAATTTGGTTTTCCAGATTTATTGATCAAGACATCCTGGGACAAAACCAGGTTTACTCTGTTTTGTTTTGTTTTGTTTTTTAAAGAGAGATTTTTGCCTTAGGGTGCTTGCCCTCGTCTTAAAGACAGAGACAGACAGAGATACAGAAAGCAAGAAATCACCCCCCAGGGGAATGGCCATGTCGCAGTTCCTTACCCTCCATTCTCCTTTCAGGATCTTGGGCACGCATGCACATGCCCATGTGCCAAGTATGTGTTTAAGCCACTAGGTCTGGAACTAGAACCGCTATTGACTACATGGGAGTCCAGGATGTAACGCTGCACCATCTGCTGGTCCCCCAGGTTTACTGTTTACTTAGGTCGTAAGAGACTGCCAGCTCAAGAGAGCTTTGTTGGTCCTTGAAAAGGGGAAAGCATTATTAAAATTCGTTTAGTACTGGAAATTTTATTTAATGAGTGCATTTGAAAGTGAAGACTTGATTAAGATTGAGAAGAGATAATAATGCCAATGGAGACAGTGGAATTACAGTCACATGCACAAAAAAAGTTTGGTTTCTATTTTCAGTGTCTAGGCTGTGTTTAGGGAAGATGGGATTTGCACTCACAAATACCGATACAGATTGATACAAATATTGATCATAGCATTCTGGGAGAATAGAATGTGAATGACAAAAAAACAGACTCGATCTTATAGATGTAAAAATAGGTTAAATCTATGCTGTTTTCCTTGTTTGTAACACCGTTAAGAGAGAGAAAACGATGGTATCTTATTTATTTTTATTCTTTCTTTCACTTAAAAGTTTTACTTTGATTACTTTTTATGCCAGGTACTGTTCTAATTTCTGCGAGGTCGTTGCTACACTCTCGGTTATTGATTTCCACCTCTGAGCTAGTCACATACATTATGCTAGCAGAGCCTTAATTCACCCCTTTCAGGCCTAAGGAAGTCATTACTATGCTCTGCTTCCCGATGGGGGAACAAAGACTGTTGAAGTAACTTTTCTAAGCGTATAGGGCCATCAAGTCAAGGCAGTAAGGGAAGTCTTTTATGTCATGTTTAGGACATAAAAGTTCAATTATGCCACACCTCTCTAACCACATAGGTGTCAAGGGGAAAGCTGGACTAAGCTGGCTCAGCAGTCACAATTAAATCCCATAATTAGGATTGGTATTTACTCTCAACATCTTCTAGATTTATCCCAAGAAAAGAAAGGAATTTCATACGTTTCCAAATTATTCAGAGAAGCTAGAGGATGGATAGTGTAAATGGTTTGGATGCTATAAAAACATGGAAAATTCTTTTTAATCCATTGATTACCATTTTACCTCCTGAAATCAGAATTTTATTATGAATATATAGGAACTTTTCAGATTTCTATGCTCTTAGGGTAGAGTTATGTCTCAACTCCCTCAAAATACGGTGTGTTGGATTTCCCACCTCCAGTAGCTCAGGATGGGTCCTTATTAGGAGCTGGGTGTTCACAGAGACCATCACAGTCAAAGGAAGCCATTTGGTGGCCCTACTGCAGGGCTCACCAACATCTTTATAGAAAGGATAAACTTGGACACCGAGATCCACCAGAGGGAGAACATTGTGAAGAGAAAACAGGGAGAAGGCAGCCTGCTAAAGTAAGGAGAGAGGCCTGGAACAGATTCTTCAGGTAGAGTCCTCAGAAGAAACCAATCCTGTGGATACCTGGATTCCAGACTTCCAGCCTCCAGAATTACAAGGCAATACATTTCTGTGGTGCGAGCCACCCTGTTGATAGTATTTTGTTTTGATAGTCCTAGCAAACGATATGGTTACTGTTCATTTCCAACCAGTCTTGTGTTTTTCCCCCCCCGCTAATAATTGATGGTATGAAAATACATCTAGGCCACCTCTATGGCACGGTGGTAAAGCACTATGTTGAGGGAGCCATATCCCACATGGCTGACTACAGTTTGAATCCTGGTCCTGGTAGCTTCAAAAACATGCCAGGCACATGTACGTGAGCCCAGGATCCTACAGGATGGGAAAATGGAAAGAAAATGGATTGTGGCCTGACCAGACCCTATTAGAGGGTACTTCATCTCTCTGCCTCTTTCTCTCTCTAATACACAAACACACACACACTCTCTTGAACAAAAAAAAAAAAAAAGGAGAAAATACAACTACCTTTCTATTTAATTATATTTCTTTACTTGTATCCTAGGTATAAAGACGTATCTTTAGCATTAGGAAAATTATCTTTATTTCTAGTATTTAAATAAACACTAGAGTACTATATTGTATAGTTATTGTTGGCTGAAGAATATATAGGTTTTTATTCTCTCTGAAATAATTACAAGTATTATTTTAGTCTATTTACAAGTAGATGCACTTATACCTTTTCAGATGAGGTCTCTTCATCTTTAGAAATGCAGACAAGGTTTTACATGAGGGGTAAATTCTGGCTACTTACACACTTTTTTTTGTTTTGTTTTGGTCTTCCAAGTGGTCTTCATTCATAGTTATGAAGTGATAGGATTTACAGGGATGAGTATGGAATGTAAAGTTACCTTAGGTTGATCCCAGTAGCTTTACCTGTGTAATTATTGAATTTAGATATTTTTCTTATAGACTTTGCATTCTAATAAATACATGATTTTCATTTAGATCAGAAATAATACTCTGTGAAAATTTCTGAAATGGCTGCTCACTGAAGAAATTCCACCAAAGAGAGAAAAAGATATTCCACCAAAGAGAGAAAAAGATTTCTCACCCAATTCAAAGTTCATGCCAGAGATTCCTATGATAAAATAGTGATTAATAATAATAAAATATAGCATAACAAATTTATTTAACATAAGTTTTACATGAGATAGGAATCTCCAGAAAGGAAGACTCAAAAAAACAGAAAAAATTCATATATGTTTGTTTTTTAATTTGCCAAAGGGTACGTACCCTTACTGAAGAGTAAAAGAGAGAGAGCAAGAGATAGAGAGAAAGCAAGCAATCACCCTTCTTCCCCATGAAGTGTGGTCATGCCTCAGTTCCTTCTCTGTTTCTCCCTCATTTTGAAATTTTGGGCATGCGTGCAAACACACATAGTGAGTTTCTCAAGCTGCTGGATCTAAGACTTGAACTATGTGGTCAGCTATGTGGGATCCAGCTGCCTTAACCACTGGATCAAAAAGTGGCCCCAAATTTGTATTTTTCTATACTTAATTTTTATGAACAGTGCACAAGTGTGCAGAAGTATGATAGAAAGGTGTATGAAAAATACCTTGAGGTTATTAAGACAATAGGTTTTGGTTGGAGGCTGATTTTTTTTATCTTTTTTTCCTTTTTCATTATTTTTTAATTTATCTCCTATTTTGTTGATTAAAAAAGCTAACGCTTTTTCAATCTGTGAGGTCCTCAATTTCTGAGTTCTCTGTTACCCTTAATCCCTGCTTGAAATAAACTCTCACCTTTCTTATAAGGTCTTGTAATTAGCACTATACATGCAACAGCCATACAAAGATGGAAATTCATATGATAAAGAACCACATGTATATGTCATTAGCTAGAACTCAATCACATACTTATACCTAATTTAAGTGAAGCTGGCAAATTATGTTTCTAGGAAGAATCAGGTGATGGATTATTGCATATAATCAGCATTCTTTTTAATATGTACTATATCACACTTTCATCAACTTTAAGCAGTCTATCAAAGTGTTTCCTAGCTATCATGCTTAGTTTGCATTTTCCTTTTCATCTGAACTTTCTTTTGTTGTTCACTTTTCTTACTAGTGTTTTTTTTTTTTGCATTATTCTTGTCCTAGATAGTTCCATTATAACTGTTTTTTCCCCTCCATGTTACTCCCTGTGCTCGGTCATTGACATATCTCCCATTGAAATGTAGCAGGCATCACAGACACAGTGTAAGAGCTACGTAGGGAACGAGAAGGTGAGGGGAAATAAACAGAGAGAGGGAAGGCAACAACAGAAAAAAAGAGAGAGAGAGGGAGAACTATTCACCTCATTTCCCTTCTAAAAGCTTATTTTATTTCTCTGGCTTTCATGTATTTCACCAAAAGGCCTTTTGTTCATGGTTGTGTATGTGCATAATTTGCTTCAAGACTGCTTCCTTTAAAATTGCTTTTGAACCATCACCATTCCCCAGTGATGATCATAATTACACTGTACAATCATGTGATAATTACACACTGATGTAAGAAGCACAGTTATGAAAATGTGAGTTGACTCGTGTGGTATAAGAAATATAAATACATTTGATCTTTGACTCTGCTTCCTGGCAGAGCTTAGAAAACGCGTGGAATTTTTTGTCTGATCATAGCATCTTTTGTTATTCATGCGTTTCAACTATACTACCTTTTATGTGAACAGAGTGACTCACAGAAGGATCCCTAGATAGCTTTAGGATGAGCACTGATCACCAGGGGGAAGAAAATATGATTGAAACTTTCAGACCTACCCTGTTCCCTCTCTTCTAGGCAGGGGAGAGGGATTGGGGATTGAATTAAGTCATGTGGCTACTGATTTAATTAATGATACTTATGTAATAAAACCTCAATAAAAACTCTGGCAGCTGAGGTTCAGAGAGCTGCCCAGTTGGTGAGCATATCAATACACTGGCAGGG